GGTCCTGTCATAGGATCTAACTAACGCTTTATCCACTGTGCCATGTGCTTCAGTTCAACATTCCAACCACCTGAAGAAGGCCGGAGTGTACAACGGCCGAAACCTTGTGATAAAAATAATTCTAGGAATATATCGTTTTAGGCACGCTGGAGTAATGGATAGCGGCTCGGATTGAGAAATCGGAGAGCCGAGTTCTAATTACAGTCGAGTCCATTACATTCACTTACGTGCTAATACCCTTGGGAAAGGTATAAATGCTCCTCTTCTTTTCAAACTATCAGTAAATAGCAGGACAGACCGGGATGGCAACAGATCTACCGCAGAAAGAAATGGCAACCTACCGCGGGAAAAATCGCCAGTCATGTATCGAAAGATATATGATCGCCCAAGCGTGTATCATACATGGCGCATAAGTGACTCTTATTTACTGCTGGCCTTGCGAAGCAACTCTTTAATCAGCGAGGCTACTTAGTGTCTCGTAAGACATTTAAGCAGTACTAAAAATAAGATCTAGACGATGTATCCCTAGATATAGGGATCTAGATATAGAAACGTGCAACGAGGACAGTCTACCACTGCAGATTAAATAAAGGGTTTAGTTTGGAATTCCCTGTAGATTACTCGGATCGAAATACATCCGATGAAGCCCTTTGTCACAACGACCGAAACGATGTGATAGCAACACAGATGAGGAAAATTATATAAATCATAATTAACATTTTTTTAAACATTTCGGAGGATTTTTTTCAGCGGCACTTGAATAGAAGATGGCGGGTAATAATTATTCTTCTTAAACTGACATTGAAGAAATGGATATTTATATTTGTAAATATAGCGATTTTCCAAGCGTAGCTTAGATGTGGCACAAGGCCGAAAGCATGGGGGCATCCAGTGAGGATCGAACTCACTACTCAGACGTAATTGTTCTAGTGAGACAAGCTTGCTAACCCTTACACCACCTTGAGGTGCCCTATTTGTCAATATATTCAAATTTGCAAATATTACAACGTGATATCCTAAATATACTGCATAAGAAATGAGGGTGTGTGAAACCTTGTTATTATAAATAACACTCACTACAGATAACTCTATCAAAAAACAGGGATCGGTTTCAAACTGTATTATATTATAAAGAGGACCCCGTTCTCAACTGATAAAAAAAAATCAAGATTTGCTTATAATTGATAACTTCTGTAGATTGGTTTGGTTTGGTTTGTTTTACAGCACATCAACCACAATGTGTTATTTAATGCCGATAATTTTTATTACTGGTAATATATTTTTTTCCTTCATAAGTGTATAGATGTTAGCATTCTTTTTTAAAAATGTATTGCTGGTAATAATTTTTCTTCAAAAAAATTATTGTTGATAATAATTTTACAAAGTATTTCTAATATCAAACCTATTTTTACACATTCATAGTGTTTTGACACCAATTGGGGTTAACTATATGCCCATAACTGGATCCCTAACAGGTGCTACCACCCCGGGTCAGGGTGAACCTGGGAACACCAGAAATTAAGAGGTGGTTCCATGCTTCTCAAAGCCTCCTGATCAGAGGGCTTGCTGTTCAACGTAGTTTATCGCCATACCCAGGACGAGCTTCTGTAGAAGGAGACACAAAACTAATAACAGGGAAATTGAGCAAAGTCGGCCATGAAGTCGTGAGACATCTCTCTTTAGGTTTGAATTCAGTGTTGACTCTCTTCTCAGCTAGAGAGGTCATTTTGACTTGCTATTTAATAGTTATTCATTTGCAATGTGTATTTGTGCGAAAGTAAATAGAACAAACTCAGCCGAGATTCAAATTTGTCATGTCGATTTCTATTTCCGGGCCACCAACCATAACAATACATGCATGCGCTCACACGCACACACACACACACACACACACACACACACACAGAGACACACACACACACAGACACACACACACTTATATATAGAGAGAACAAATTCTCTTCCTGTCTGTCTCTCTCTTTCTCTCTCTCTCTCTCTCTATATATATATATATATATATATATATATATAGAGAGAGAGAGAGAGAAAGGTTTAAATTAGTGTTGACTCTCTTCTCAGCTATATATATATATATATATATATATATATATATATATAGAGAGAGAGAGAGAGAGAGAGAGAGAGAGAGAGAGAGAGAAAGAGACAGACAGACAGACAGACAGACCGGGAGACAGAGAGAACAGTCTTTGGTAGAATGATATATATGAACAGTGCTAGATCCGAATAGGATTGTAATTTACTAAGCCGAGATTAGGTGTGGCACAAGGCCGAAAGCATGGAGCACGAAGTGTGGATCGAACTCACTGCTCAGTCGTAAATCATCTAACGAGATAAGTATTCTATCCATTACACTACGTCATAGCGCACAAAATGTGGTACAAGGACTAAAGTATGGAGCACCCATTGGGGATCGGACTCACTACTCAGTCATAAATAGATAGATAGATAGATATTAATATTGCTGGAATAGATAGATAGATAGATAGATAGATAGATAGATAGATAGATAGATATGAACATGGCTGGGGTAGATAGATAGATAGATAGATAGATAGATAGATAGATAGATAGATAGATATTAACATTGCTGGGATAGATAGATAGATAGATAGATAGATAGATAGATAGATAGATAGATAGATATGAACATTGCTGGGGTAGATAGATAGATAGATAGATAGATAGATAGATAGATAGATAGATAGATAGATAGATAGATATGAACATTGCTGGTGTAGATAGTTATGAACATTGCTGGGGTAGATAGATATGAACATTGCTGGGGTAGCTAGCTAGCTAGATAGATAGATATAAATAGAATATTATTGATAGGTGGTTAGATAATAACCAACAGGGATATATTACAGTGTATAGAAGCTTAAAAATGCTAATTTAAATAACGGTTTCCATTTAATAGAGTCACGTACACACGTTGTTGAATATTCTCTCTTGTCTCCAGAATAAAAGAATCACATGTAAAATTCAATATGGCGATGAAATACTATTTTATCATTGTTTATTTCTTTGAGAAATGTAATTTGTTTCAATTTCTAAAAATTCTACTGGGTTTTGCTTTAAATACCGAATACACTTCTTTATATATAATATTTATTTGCGAAAATGTTATGTTATGCAAAATTATATATACATTGTAATCATTCTTATGTTATAAGAATGATTACAATGTATATATAATTTTGCCGTAATGTAAGTTGATTACACAGACACACACATCGTTACCTACACGCCAATATTTTTTTTCTGAGATAAGGTATACTAACTATTTGCATTATTTAGACTGTTCAAACTGTTGTCCTTATCTTTGTTGTTATATTTACAACGTTTCAGCCGTTGTACGCCCCGGCCTTCTCCCATCTAAAATGAGGGAAAACGTTTATTCTACTTCCGTCCAAAGGCGAAATTATGTGTCAGACTGGATGGCATGTATGTTCGATGAGAGATAGTTTATGTGGGGAGAGTGTGTCTACGGCACAGAGATGCAAAAGAACCCTCTCGACTCTGATTCTTATGGTAGACAGCATTCCATATACAAAGGTTATATGAATCATATGACCTGGTCTTTGAGAGCCATTTTGATTGGAAACTAATTTTAATTGGTTTCCTTTCAATTTAAATTAACTTATCCGCATGGTTTGGGCTGAATCATCTGAAGTCCGAGTAAAATTGTAACGCATCGGAAGTAATGATACAGGTTTCCTTTTCTCACCGTTTATTTTGAAGTAAGTGTGGATATTTAACATGATTATGTCATCATTTTCGTTTCAAGTTATATGTAATAAGTTTTAACTGTTGCTGCTGTTGAAAGTACTCAAGTGGCGTAATTTCTGTTATCGAGTACAGTTATTTGTTTGTGATTTTGTATCCGCCGGTCCTTATATTTGAAGAAGGATTCTCTTCGCGAAAATCCACAGTTTTCACTGGCTCAAAGAATTTTTTAACCGTTGATCTTAGAAAGCGGTTGTATACGTCTGTTAATTTAGTGTTGTGAGATCGTAACATACCTACAACATGGACTCTTCCAGGACTATATAAAGTATGCGATATAAGACTCTAAAAGAGAGAGAGAGAGAGAGAAAGAGAGAGAGAGAGAGAGAAAATTCTAATACCGTAGTATCAGCCGCGTACGACTACCAATATTGGACACTAACACATAGTAAGCTCCACTTACACTATCTTTGTAACCTTTTTGTTTAATAAATCTTTCTTACCTCTAATACGTGTTTTCCTTCCGTGGTCCCAAATTTGGGTCCACATCATTTAGATAGATTTGGCGCCATGAATGACTTTTAAATGAAACTCTCGATCTGACTTGGCTGTTGAAGTACATGATTGTAGTTTTCAGGTTAATGTTTTAGTTTTGGAACAATGATACGCAATTCTAAATTACATTGTGAAAATCTGGCCCACCTTCTTTGGTATGGAAAGATTGTGGATCAATTCACAACAGTGGTGAATAGGGAATTTATGTTAAAGTTTAATCCAATTCAAGGCTCGATCGTCAATCGAAGTAAAGGACTACAGTCAAAATTGTAATGTTGAATTTGCCGCGTGATATGAATGGGAGAGACGATTTTCAGGTTAATAGGAAATGACAAGGTTTGGCACGACTTGAAATGACATCCACGCCCGCCTCTATTTTACAAAATTGCAGTTCTTAGGAAAAAAATGTGTTGTACTTTTCTCTTATATTTGGCTTATTGATTGATTTATTGATCTGTTTTTTTTTACGACTTATCAACCTTTTACAGGTTATTTAAAACGAGAAAAATATTTTTAGATTGTAAGAATTTCTGAGCGATAATAATGACTTACTGGCAGATGTCCTACGAATTAACGCATAGCTGGGAAAGAAGAGGTGACTTTCCCAAGGGCATATAACGAACCCAACTGGAATGGAATTTCATCTCTTCGATTTCCAATTCCGAGCCATTATCCATTACACCACCTGCACATCTTAGCTTACAACATCTGGTATTCCAAAGTGGTCTCCCATCTAGCTACTAAACAGGCTCAACGTTGCTTAACTTCGGTGATCGCAAGAGAACTAGTGTTTCAATGTAATATGGCCGTAAGCCTCCTATATATACGGAGGAGATTAGGATAATTCGACTCCTATGTACCATGGTGTGTTCTATATTTAAAGGCTTGAACTGGTAGGACTAAAGATTAGAGATTATCTGAACATTTGCCATGGAAATAACCGGAGATGTATTGAAGGGCTCGTAATTCAAATACTTTTAACAAAATTTGCCGAAAATAGCAACAGGGAATGGATGACAGGAGCAGGTTTTGGTGAAGCTTCTTGTCCTGACCCTGCACGTTGGCCGCGAATTTAGGAATCAACTCCATCCTCATAAAGGATCAGTGAAGTAGAAATTAAATTCTTGTATACGAGATAAAGCCGACGACGAGCAATTGAAGGCCTGACACTTTGCGACTGTGGGAAAGAGGTTTTCAGTGTAGAAAATAAGTTTACCTTCACAAAACCGCGTAAGGTTTTGGTGCGATTAGCCTTTTCCATATAGAAAGCTTTCAGTACGAACTGACTTAACGGCGTTACTCTAGCTTCAAATTGATAGAATAGGTCTTTTTTAGAAAGATAGATTTCTCAACTCATTTAATTATCACCATTTCTATTACTGATGGGTCGTTCCCTTCTTACCATTTGATTAAGGTAGTATAAAAAGTCAACATCTTGATTATGACATTATTCCATAACACCTCGACCTCCAAGTTACAGTTGGTATACATTTTAGTTATAACTGCCTTTGGAAGTCTTCGAGTTATATGGTCTTTGGTATATGGTAGAATTCTTTATTTGTGATTTTGTAGTGCCAGACTGTGAATGATGGACTTCTTTAAGAACTTGAACGATTTTGAACTCTATGAAGTTAGGATGCAGCAGACCCAGCTCAGATATACGCCAATTTTGATCTAATCAAGGACAGATCATAGCGGAAGGAGGTCAGATAATTCTTGGATCGATAGAAAGTGCTGAATATTTTCTCAGAATCTTTAGTAATGGATTGTATATATGAGTTCTACTTGAGGCCTGGGGTGAATTTCTGACCCAATAGATATTTAATGTAAAAAGCCTCATTGAAAGTAAATCTGTTCATCGTAAATAGACAAACTTCACACGTCTTAACAGTAATAAAATAATATTAGATTTATGTTTGAAGTATGGAAATTTAGTTAAAGTATGGAACAGAATAGAATAGAGGTTATTCGGAAATAATGTTCTAATATATTATGATAATAATTGTACAAAAAGATATTACTCTTAATGGTTAAAGTGTCCCATTTGTTAATTTTATATCAATCTCTTTCAGAATTTTACTTAAAAATAATATATACCCCTCATCTAGTACAGGACAAATGCTGCATACTGGGATCGAGCCCTCCAGTCCGACAACATCAGGAAATCTCCTTTCTGACAAATCGACCAAGGAGAGATTTGAACCCGGGTCTCATATTCAGAATGCGAACGTTCTAAAACCATACCAAGGGTTAACCCAAGCGATGTGAGTGAAATTGGGTAGACGGAACCCATGAAGCCGTCGATAGCTGTGCTAGCACGAAGTCACAAATCATCGTGGCAGAGGGCTTTAGAGTAGCGGCATTGTTCAAATTGTTGAACACGCTAGATAACACGTTCTTTCCCAGAAACTGTAACTAAGTTCTGCTCAGCATAGATGCAGTATAAAGTACAGGTAGACTCTGTTGGTGTTGAATAAGAAAAAATGCGCCTGAGCAAGCGTCTGCAGTAGGGATTGTCTAGCCGCCCTATTAGACGCGTTTCCTCGAATACGAGTGGCCAGCTATACAGTACAGGAAAAATGAAGAGATGTGTTTACTTTATTTGGAGGAGTTAAAGGTTGATCATAATGCTTTTCAAATTGCTGCCAACATTAACATAGGGTGAATAAAATCTACTTGTTATCGGCCAGTACGGTGCTGGTTTCGGAAGTTCCGCAGTGGGGATACGAGTCTTGAAGTTTAAGGTGACAGGGGACGTCCATTTGCAAATGACAATCCACATCTGAAAAAACTAATCGAAGAAAACTCATGTCAAATTGTCAGAGAAATGTCTCAGAAAATGGGTTTCAGCATTTCAAAAATATCGGACCATCTCAAGAAAATTGGCATGAGAAGAAACTCGATAAATGACTTTCATATCAAATCAGTGAAAGCCAACTTTTTCCGACATTATTAAATGCTGTATCTGCGGAATTCGAATGATCCAGTTCTTGATCGAATGAGCGTGATGAGAAATGGCTCGTTATGACAATCATAACTGATTGGCTCTCTTGATCCTGACGAAGGACTCAAAGACTTTACAAAAGAGATATTGTGCCAACAGAAGGTTATGCTGACTGTCTGGTGGTCCAGAATCAGTGCTATCTCTTACAGCTTTCAGTAATCTTAATAGAACATCAAATTCATTGTTTTCAAGTGGATGAAATGCAAATTCAATTAAGCAAAGGTGCCGGGTATCGGTTTGTTTGATTCTATATCATGAAATTTCTAGGCCACATACTTCCAGGAATGACACCGCCATAGCTCACCGACTTTGGATACGAGACTACATCCACAATATTGTCCTGATCTCTCACCCACTGATTCCGAACGTTTTCAAACATCTGATTTTTTTTTAAACCAAAGACATTCTGTTAAAAAGAAAATGTATTCAAAAGTTTTTTGGCGTATAGACTTTTATAATTTATTCGTAAAGATATTAATATCATAGTAACTCTATTGAAGACATGCATACATGTTCAGGGCTCCTATTTTGATTGATTTAGACATTGTTTGATGTCACTAAATCAAGAATAAAAATTAATTCTAAAATCAGTCATTATTTTCCGAACAACCTAATATGATATTTTGCAACAGGTTGTAGTCAGTTAATTCCAAATTCCAAGGTGAAGAACTCGATAAAGGAACTCAATAAAAAGGAAACAGTTTTAAAGCGCGTTAGATGTTGTACCTGCAAAATTCCAGTGGCCCATTACTTGATTGAATAATGACTTGTGATGAGAAATGGACCCTTTATGACAATCGTAAACGATCGGCTCAATGGTTTAGCAATGGTGAAGGACCCAAGTACTTTTCTAAGCCGAAATTGCACCAACAAAAAACCAGGATGACTGTTTACTAGTCTGTCACTGACATTATCCTTTCTGGAATGTTACCAGAGCATCATTGCCGAAGTTTACTACTATCAACTGGATGAAAATCACATTAATTTATGCAAAAAGTTACAAGCATTGGTTAATCGCGGGGTGGGGTCGAGTAGGGGGCAATTCTGCTTCATGACAATGCTCGGTCACATGTTATCAGTATTACACTACAGAAGTTCAACTTAGTAGACCAGACTTTTCCACATCCACCATATTCCACTGATCTCGACCCACTGGCTACCACTTTTTAACAATCTTGACAATGTTTTAAGTCAAAAGAAAATGCGGAAACTGCATTCAAAGATTACTTGGCGCCCAGACCTTTAGTGTTTCATCGTAAAATTATTAACAACATGGTAACTCGAAGGCAGAAATGTGTAGATTTTCAGAGTTCCTAATTTAGTTGTTTTAATAAATCAGTTGTGTGCCATGCGTGATACACGCTTAGGCGATCATATATCTTTCGATACATGACTGACGAGGCAGATTTTTTTCTCGCAGTAGGTTTCCATTTCTTTCTGCGGTAGACCAATTGCCATCAAAGGCTATAGAACCCGGTCTGTACTGCTAATTACCCAGAGCTTGGAGGAGAAGAAGAGAAGAGAATTCATACCTTTCCCAAGGGTATTAGCCCATAAGTGAATGTAATGATTTAAACACTGATTAAATAAATGTAAATTCTAAAATAGGATATTATTTTCAGAACAACTTAATAGCAACACGAAGAGCTGAACATTCAGGTCATGTCGATGCAGTTTTCGTTTTTATATCAAAGGAATATACGAAGACGTGCTAAAAATTCCTCCACCCTACCGACAAAGTTTGATCCATTGATGCAACATCAGAATATTTAAAAAAAATCTTCTTGGTCAGACTGAGAACTTTTCAGCATTACTCCAATTGATGCATTATACCAATCTTTCTGCTTGCAGCAGGCACTTTTAAAACAATATTCGAAACCCTGTCGTGTTAGAGTCCGAAAACAGACAAGAAGCGCGCGATGCAGACGTGTAACCATATCGACTATCTCATAGAATATAGAAAAAAATTAAATCATTTTCTTTCTTCAATAAAAGGATATTTTACATCTTTTCTTCGCACGCAGTCGTAAACAGCCGACAGAACTTCAAAATGGCTTCCCCTGAACGAGGAAAATTTTCTTTTCTTTCTTTATTGGCGTGATCAGCGCATGCGTACTGAAAATTTTAGCTATCGTGATTACCCGAAATTGTGTTTTACTTAATGACCAGCGGGATGTCTAACGTTTTCGCGTGTCGACTAAAGCAGAGACAGAGTCTGATCGTAGAATTTTGAGAGAACAGAATAATTAAAGGATTTGAATGAAAACGGGAATGATAAAAAAATGTAAGAAAGAATAAAAAGTACGCTTTTGATTATGAGATAAGTAGAAAACCGAAATCCAAGCATAATAGCATAATTTAATACATACATAGCACGATATATATATATATATATATATATATATATATATATATATATATATATATATATACATGCAAGGGGAAGCAAGGGAAAGGCAAGGGGAAAAGCAAGTAAGAGACAGAGGGAAGCAAGGCAAATGTAAGAGGAAAAACAAGGAAGATACACAAGGAAACCAAGGGAGAATTAGTGGGAAAAGCAAGAGAGTGTTAGGAGAAAAGTAAGGAAGAATCCGAGGAAAAGCAAGGAAGAAGCATAGGAAAAATTAAAGGAGGTCAGGTGGAAAGCAATGGAGAGATAGAGGAAATGGATGTGAAAAAAGTAAATGTAGGATGTAGGAAAACAAGAAAAATGAAAGGAAAGCAAGGAAAAAATATATATATATATATATATATATATATATATATATATATATATATATATATATATATATATATATATATATAGTT